GTGATCACCATGGTCCTCGGGCTACAAACCACACCGAACCTGCCCAGCCATCTCCCCTGCCGGGCTCCACCTGTTCTCACCTATAGAAGGCTGGAGAAGCTGATCCTGGATGCAGGGAAAGCTCCAGCTGCTGGGGCTGAAGGCGTGGTTGGCCCACCCAGCTTCATCTCAGTATTCGCATCTGAACAGAAATCTACCTCCTTCCAACCGTCCTGGTCTTAGTTCTGCCTCCTGAAGACAAAAGGTGAAACGATGCAGTCCCTTACACCTACGAAGGCAAGTGTGCTGTGTCCCCCGCAGGCACGTCTTCCGCACCCTCTGCGATTCTTAAAGACATGATTTCAAATCCTCTCACCTTCCCAGATGGTTTCCAGTCTGTTCTGTCAAGTGTACCCAGAACCACAATATCAAAAATGCAGCCAAAGGGGCCCCAGAGCAGGGCTATCCCTTCCTGGTAAAGGACAAAAGGCTTCAGGCCCTGTGTCTGGGTCATCCCAGCTATGTGGTCACACAGCCTCAGGCCACCCTAAGACTTGGTCCCCTCTAGGGGAAGAGGTCTGAGCACCTCTACCCCAGTGTGGCTGGGGGCCCACAGGGTCAGGTCTTGACATTATGACTTAAGAGCCCTGCCCCAAACTGGAGACTCACAGGACCTCAGCTGACCGCTGAGCTCCCTGCACCCTGGCTCCCTCTCCAGTTCGTGTCTTCCCCATCCTGTCTCAGTTGCTACTTGTCCATCCATCAGGGTGGGAGCGCTGATCCTTGCTGTCATTCCTGAGCTAGGACTTCTTGCTCCGGGCATTACCCCCTCGCCTGTGTACGTGTGGGCATCCTAGGGCTGTGAGGATGAACTCAGCACTGGGGAAGCACCTGACACAGAGGGGCTCGAGGCCCTGATTCTTGATTTGTTTCTTCCACTTCTGCAGCTTCTCTACTCATCTTCCCAAAATCACACTACCCAGGAAGCTGTGGCTGAAAACAGGCTGAGAATTCACTTTAGCAATTTAGAAAAGTCTTTCTTTAAAATTTGTTTTGAATTGCCAGAACTAAAACTACAGCTTCCAAAAATCAACATGCCCCTTAACATCTACGAGATCATTTAGAACTGAAAAATAAATTAATTGGCTCCAAAGGGACATCTTAATCCAGAGTACAAAGAACAGGAGGCTCTGTGGAAACATACAAGTCTTCAAACTCCTCTTAAAAATCTAACGGACTCCCAGTACTGGCATTTCAAACAATTTAGCCTTAAAAGATCAGAAAGAATCACCCCAGGGAACATTATGACTAGCTCCAGAAAATGCCAACATTTATTAACACCTGTATTCGACTAGTCAGAAAAATATAGTCCAAACTGATTTTCAACAGGGCAAAATTCATCACGTCTTAAAGATGCTTTTAACCCTTATAAATTATCCAAAGATAAAGCCATAATTTTCAAAAGTCAAAATAACATGAAAAGTTGTTCAACCTCAAAAGCAATTTTAAAACTAAAGGAAGGGCGAGACCCTTTTTTTGCCCTAGCAGCACGAAAAGATGTAAATAAACCCAGAATGTGAAGAAATGGGAATTGAGTAAATACTTTCCTGGAAGGCAGTCTGGCAAAATGTATTGAACTGTAAAGTATGCCTACCTTTTGACTCAGCAATTCCACCTCTAGCAATTTATGACAAGGAGACAGCTAGAAAAGTGTGCAGATACCTAAGGGGTACATTATGAGACTGAGAAACACCTGAATGTCTGTCAATGGGGAACAGTTAAAAAACTGATTGCTGGAAAGGACTCCTCAGGGTCACTGGGCCATGGTTTTGTAACTACTGCCTCTGCTCAAACTGAACAGATAGGTTCAAATCCAATACATCGAATGGAAAGCAGAAATGAATGTTGAAATCAAACTATGTTCACATTCTGTGGAGCGAGATTACAGAACAGCATCTTGATTTCCCTTGTGTGTGTGTGTGTGTATGCAAAAGACATCCAGAAAAAAGGACTTTGATCATTAACTTCATCTTCTAACAGAGAGAATTTTTGTGAACAAGCAAATGCTATTTCAATGGGAAAAAAAACCCCAAAAAGCACTTTAGAAATTAAAGACTGGTGTCTACAGTAACTTCACATTCATGATGTAAGTGACGTATGTTACCCTACACTTACCTCCTTTTGCCCTCATTCTGAGTCTACTTTTGTCACGGGTCAATGTGAAAGACAGTAAAACGGGAAGAAGCACACATAAACGCTCCTACTTGGTGACTGTTTGGAGGCACTCCTCTGCACCTTCCTTTCCACAGGAGCCCCAATGCTGTCCCAGTTACTTTGAACTAAGCAAGGGCTTCTCTCTTGCAGTGACTGTCTCAGGAGTGTCAGATAGGCCAGACTTTGATATATTGACAAAGCTGCTACACGGATTTAAGAAACATCTCCTTTTGTAAGATTCCACCCCAACTTTGTTATGCAGATACAAAGGAGCTAAGCCAGAACTAGCAGAATGAGGTGGTCTCCAGATCACTTGTTATTCTTGAAGATACTGAATCTCATTTTCCTTGAATAATTTTCCAGGAGTGTGAACCTTGCATTCTTCTGCTTAAATTTACCACTTCTGATGACTTTGAACAAATAAATGCAGTTTGGAAATCAGATTCAGCACAATGTAATTCTAGCACTTTTTCAGTTTTAAAAAAACTTTATAGTTTAAAAGCGTATAGTTTAAAAACAAACTCCACATTGATTTGTTAGGTTTAAAGCATACCACACTCTATCAAAAAAATGACTAACTGAATGCTGTGGGCAGTGTGGTAGATGTTAGGGAAGAATTAAATTCATAATTAGCAGGTCATGGACACCTGGCACTTCCAGCTTCATTCAAAACGAGAAGGATTCGGGAGAATTCTGATTTCCCCAAGTTACTCAGGAGCCTCAAAGCTGACTGCCGTCGTAAGAGCAGCGAGGCACAGTT